ACACGACCGACACGACAGACACGACAGACACGACAGACACGACCGACACGACAGATACGAGCGACACGACAGACACGAACGACACGACAGACACGACAGACACGACCGACACGAACGACAAGACAGACACGACAGGCACGACCAACACGACCGTCACGACCGACACGACAGACACGACAGACACGACAGACACAAACGACACGATAGACACGAGAGACACGACCAACACGACCGACACGACAGTCACGACAGACTCGACCGACACGACAGATACGACCGACACGACAGACACGACTGACACGACCGACACGACAGACACGACCGACACGACAGACTCGACCGACACGACCGACACGACCGACACGACAGATACGACCGACACGACAGACACGACAGACACGAACGACACGGCAGACACGACAGACACGACCGACACGACAGATACGACCGACACTACCGATACGACAGACACGACCGACACGACCGACACGACAGATACGAGCGACACGACCTTGTCAAACTCTGTAGCACTAATTGAAATTAACTGTGTGTTCTAAATCGGAGAACTCACTCAAATACAAATAGAATAAAACAATAAAGAGGCACATCTATACATGTCATTAATATTATACAAATAAATCAAATTAGAGTGTCTGTTGCTAATATTGAAATAAACGCTTTTTATTAGGTACGGGTAACATACGATAAATATTTTAAGTTTGTACCGGCTAATCTCTGAATGGCTGGACCGATTTTGACAGGAGTTTTATTGACAGGTAGCTGATATACTAGGGAGTAACATTTCTTTTGGTAAATAGAAACAAAAAAACTCACACACGGTACACCTTGAACTTTGCTGCTTTCTAGACGTTGTTTTGATAGATAATTAAATTATTAAAGTATAAACTATTATTTCTAAGATTTACAGAAAGGAATTACAACGCTATAACAAAGTACTAAAGCTAAGCGACTGTCGTAGCTGTAGGTACGTATACATCTACTTAGAAACTCATTGAGACTCAAGTCTCATTCAAAACTAATTTTCAACCAATCGATTGACTATAAATTAGTTTAAAGCGCGAGGTCTAATCTTATGTAAGTTTCTGCTAAATCTATGAGCACAGTTTAAATAACCAGATAAAGCATTGAATATCACTAGTTCAAACTTTAGTAGAAAGTGCATATTGATTCGTTAGTATTTTTCGATTATGATCTGGTACATGATTACGTGTATTCAGTTATTGCAAGATAATTATTGCAAGTAACCCTACTAAATATAAAATAAATTAATTTTCACATTAGTAACTCCAACTCGACTATTCTTTATTTAGTATTACTAAACAACACTACTGCTACTAACCTCACATCACTAGTGTCACGCAAATGGAATGTCATTGACCGACTTATCACACGTATAGTCAGAATTTTAATTAGATTCCAGATTTGACAATAGCTACTGTCATTTTGTGAAATAATGATACCACATATAATAGTATAGTGATGAACACAAAAATCGATAAACAATCAGTGTGTGTGTTTTATAATAAATGTTACAGAAAGTGACAGGATAGCGATAGCGATGACGGCGACAATTTATAAAATAACTTATTACCATAATACATCTATCTGTTTTATTTGTCATGTTCCTTCATGATTACATTTTTTTATTTATTTCACACACAATTATAAAAGAAAAGTCTCAGATCGTTAATTAATCGTCAAAACTAAATTATCGGTTCAGAAATATTTAATTTCATGATATATTTAGTTTACGAGAGTAAAATTATAAACAAGAAGAATCGATCCAGAAATATTGCATTTCCATATCGAATAATTTCGCAACGTCACTATTTAGTACTTGTCATAACGTTGCAACACTGAAATTGTCAAATCTGGAATCGAATTAAAATTCCGAGTATAGGGTTTCTAATTGGATTATGGTTATAACTAAAAATCGGTTTTGGTGTTAATTTTGTTAACTGAAAATACAATTAGTCACCAAGATGTGGCTAGACGAGGCGGACGGCTTCGCCGAGATTTTTAAGGGCTACTTACCCTATTACTTGCTTGTGGCTCTACCTATTTTTATCATAATGTCTCCTGTAAACCCGGTCGCTGCTTCTCATGAGTTTTCCGTGTACAGAATGCAACACTACGACTTGCACACCGTTCCCCATGGTAAGTACGCATAATTCAATATATTCCAACTTTCAAATCAAAAAATCGATTCCGACTTTGAGGTTATATTACTTTGGCTAGACTTTAGAGGCTGTTTATTTTATAAGTGTCACCATAAGAGTGTTAATAAAAAAGAATTCCGGACAACCAATCTTGACAATGGCCATTCAAATTACTTTGCATGATTAGTACTCCAATTACATTTTAATTAGCTCTTTCATAATTTACTTGTAACTTTTTTAGTATACTAAAAAAAATATATGATTAATTGTAAATAATACTAGTTTAAATGTTATGTGTATTATTAAAAAAGTAGATTCTTTATTTAATTTAAACTTGCAACTTAGCCACAAGACAATATCAATTTATAATTCTTACCTAAGGAAACAATTAGATTTTCCTTATTTGCTAACATGACTTGATAAAATACACGTATGCTTTATACACTATTAAACTGTCAAACACCAAGTGGTCACCAGTGACCGCAACCTATTGTTCTATAATGACAGTACTCGATGAGTTAAAATTTCTCATTAAATATTTATTTATCTAGAAGTAGAAGTTTTAACCCGTTGAAATCCACCCCCTAAATTTGGTCATACAAAAGTAGTCTCTAAACATTACAAATAAGGTCTATAATGTAATGTAATATTACTGGAAAGCGGTCACCGGTGACCGCTTGGTGATTTATGGGTTAATGCATGTCCATCATGAACAGTAATTTCTGCAGCCTCTAGCTAGAATGACATATTAAATTAATCCCAATTTAACAGTTATAAATTAACTAATTTTAACCGAATAAAAAAAAGGAACATTTCTGTTTGACCTGTTTGTATGTTTATGCAATGGTCTTGCAAATGGCTGAACTGATTTTAATGCAGTTTTCAGAAAAGTGTTTGTTACAATTAGGAGAAGATTTTAGTATATTAATTAATTGACTTGAAAAGAAAATGAGGGTGTTGAAGTCGGTTCTTTTAAATTTAGTTAACTGGTCAAGTACCGTCATTATAGACACAATTATAGAACAATAGGTTGCGGTCACTGGTGACCGCTTGGTGTTTGACAGTTTAAGAAAAGTATTGTTCAATAAATAATTGTATTGTCGTTGTTCATTATCATCTTTTTCAAACACAATATGTGGTTATTAATTAATGATGTATAAAAATTATCCATGATGCTCCTCCATCTAACCATGGAGTACCATATTTATGATCATATTTTTATTTAGGATGCCGCAGTGCAAGCTTCAACTTGGAAGGTCGTTCCCTAACATCCTGGAGTACTTCTCGTCACTGCGTTGTCGCCAGGGTGCAGGACATCAGCATTGAACAGTTCATGGAGATCCGCAGCAAAGCTGGAGCCTTGCTGCTGGTGTTGCCGAAAAATGACACTGTTCTTACTGCTGAGGAAAAAGAGGTTGTTATTTGATATAACATAACATCACAGTTTTTATCACCTGGGAGTAAGCAGAGGGGCACATTACGGCACTTAATGCAGTGGCATAAAAGTTGTGTAACTAGTGAATAGTGGGTGTTACATTGTACAGTGGCATTAAGTGCTGACATACTTCACTGGCAAAGAATTTGTTCCAGATTCAGTTTTTTGATCATGTCACAAATACCAAGTCAAAATCAAGTTTTACTGAAACAAAATATAAATAAAAAGGTCTTCCAAATATTTTACAATACCATATCATAATTTGCAGCACATCCAACTCCTGGAAATGGCAATGATCCAGCAAGAAGTGAGTGCCCCAGTCTACTTTGCTCGCTGGTCTCCGGACTTCGAGGATATTCTCCGAGATCTGCAGCACAGCTTCATTACTGACGATAAGTCAGGAACGGCTCTGGAAGCTATGATGAACTCTGTGTCTTCAAACGGATACCAGATTGGTAAGGATAGTAATAAACTCTTATTACATCGTTGTTTACCTAAGACTGCCTCGTTGGCCGGGTGGTCGCAAGTGCGACCGCCGGGCAACCGGACTCGGTTTCGATTCCCAGGTCGAGCAAAGTATTACTGGAATTATTGACAAATTTCCCAATAGTAGCATGGAGGCTGGAATTGTGCCCAGTATATGGCATTAGGCTCACCCCCTATTACACGGGACTCATAAATAATGAAAAGTGGGTGCTAAATTGGAGATAAAAGGCGTGATTTTATGTGTGTTGTTCACCTACTTAATTAGTAGGTAACTATCTACTTAGATGCTCATAAACAGGAGGATATCTAATAAACACTGAAGTACTGAGCCTACAGCCTAATAGCATTAACTCGTCGAGCACCGTCATTATAGACACAATTAAAGAACAATAGGTTGCGGTCACTGGTGACCGCTTGGTGTTTGACAGTTTAAATGAGTTTTATAGTATTTAAATGAGAAAATGGTGCTTGAAAATCTTTACAAAAAAAATGAATTTTTAACATTAATGTTTTTGCTATATTGTTAGAGAACATACGAACAGACCTTTCATATGTACCTAAATTCATTTGAGAACATACACAAACACCTATAAAGAACTACCAACTTTCCTTCAAAGATATGTAAAGATTTGTTTTTATTGCTATCTCCGTTGATATCTTGTTCTAAATCATAGAACAAACAAGAGATAACTGACTATCAGAGGAAAGAAACATACTTAGTGATATTCTATTATTTGTTTTGGCTTAGTTATTATTGTCAAGCATTAATTTTTGTCCGACACCTGTAAGGTTGTAGTAGTAATACTAGATGTGTACTAAATAACAAATTTCATTGGAATAACTCATATATAACATCATAACATCACGTCTTTTACCCCCGAAGGGGTAGGCAGAGGTGTATGTACATTACGGCAATTAATGCCACTGTACAATGTAACACCCACTTTTCACTATTTATGTTATGAGTCCCATGTAATAGAGGGTGAACCTATTAACATCACGCCTTTTACCCCCGAAGGGGTAGGCAGAGGTGCATATTATGCCACTGTACAATGTAACACCCACTTTTCACTATTTATGTGATGGGTCTAAAAATGATTAATAAACAAAATGTTAACATTATTTGTTACTGCTTGCCATATCAGATTTGACAAGAAATTAAACTATTCTAATAACTAAAATCGACTATTTTAATCATTCCACAGTGGTATCAGCCTCGACGCCCGCTAAGCTGGAGTCCAAACCAGTCACTCTACATGGCAAGTTGGTTGGTCGCTCTGGATCAGCACAAACTATCGTCATCGCCGCTCACTACGACTCCTCCGCTGCTGTTCCTGTAAGTGTACTTGATATATTTAAGTAAAAATAGTAACTAAAAACATAATAGACGCATTACTCGCCCATAGAATTTTCGAAAGTTCCCCTCGGTTTCCCTCGGATCCCATCATCAGATCCTGACCTCATGGAAATGGGACCATCTCGGGACTATACCCTTTCAAACAAAACAAGAATTTTGGAAATCGGTTCACAAATGGCGGAGTACTGCGCGAACAAACAAAAAAAAAAACAATCAGCCGAACATAGTACCTCCTCCTTTTTTTGAAGTCGGTAAAAAGTAATTGAAGTGTCGGAAGTAACAAATAAAGAAACGTCAACTTGTAGCAAGCGTATATTGCTAACTGACGGTAAAAATTGGGATGATAACGGTGTGAAAATTAAAAATTTAATTAGTCCGTAAGTTACGTAATGAAAAAATATTAGACACGTATTTTTTTATTTTGATGTATAATAAAATGATACTTACATATTATAACGAATCAATGTTTAGGAGTGGGGGCTAAACGTCATTTCTACGTATAAAATGTACATAGGAGTGACGTCACGCGACATTTCAAATCAATATATCGTCGAAAGTATTCGTTTCTGTAAGAAAATAAAAAATACGTGTGTAATGTTTTTAAAATAATCTACCAGACGGACATTAAAATTAAAATTAGGCGTCTACCCTATTCTGTAGGCTTATTTATACGTGATCTTACTTAACAATTTTCTTATGTGGGTAAACTTAAATATATCACAGTAGTAAAAAGAATACACGAAGATGCCATTATAAGTCGACGAAAAATACTTATTATGGTCCATATAAAATGTGTGGTTCAATTGGTTTGATTGTTCGAGTAGTGAGTGGTTGGTCCGGCTGAAAATCAATTGACAATTTGACCAGTAGGTCAGGGCAAACTCTTTCATTACTGAGTCACTGATAGATAGTTAAAATATACAACCATTTGAATTCAATTGAAAACAAAATAAAATATATTCCACTCTCCAGTTCTAGTGTGATGTTTAACAATTATCGACTGCACGGTTGGCGCGGTGGCTGGGCAACCGGCTGCCGCGCAACGTGTAGCGGGTTCGATTCCCGCACGGAGCAACTATTTGTGTGATCCACAAATTGTTGTTTCGGGTTTCGTTGTCATATATGTATGTGATATTGTATGTTTTTAAATGCACCCACGACACAGAAGGAAATCCTAATGCGGGGAAATGTTGCTTTAAAAAAAAAAATGTTTTAAGGACATTTAAAGAACAACTATTACTTCAGCACTCTAAATCAAATCAAATCATTTATTTCGGTTGCAAACATGGGTTATAAAATATACAAAAGGCGTGTAATAGTTATAGTATGGTTCTCCACATTTTGCCGCTACGGCATGCAAATAATGTACAAGTACCTACAAGTATTTCCTAATCAATTTATCTACAAGTTTAACTTACACAACCACATACAATATGCATTACCAATAAATTAAGAATTGAAATAATTATAATTATTGAATGTCAAGAAAGATGAAATTAAAGGTATCATATTATTAATAAGTCAGTAAGTCGTCATTAAGAAAGTTGTCAATATTATAATAGCATTTGTCAAGCAAAAGTTCTTTTAACGTCTTTTTCAATTTCAATACAGTCATACTTTTCATAACAACTGGTAACTTATTGTAAATGAGAGGTGCAATACCAAAAAAACTTTTCTTTACCAATGCAGTTTTACCAAGGTTCTTGTTTACCTATTCAAACAAAAACATTTGTGTTAGAAAATTCACCCGCGGTAGGAAACTTTCTTTAAATACTTCCTTACTTCAACAGGAGCTCTCTCAAGGCGCAGACTCCAACGCGTCAGGCGCGGTGGCAATACTAGAGCTGGCGCGTGTGTTCTCTCGCTTGTACAGTAACGCGGCCGTGAGGGGCGCGCCCTCGCTACTGTTCGTACTGACGTCACTGGGACACTCACTCAACTACTTCTCAGCCAAGAAGTGGCTCGAGGAACAACTGGATTCTACTGATGCTGCGTTGTTGCAAGTAAGTTGTTGATAAACTGACTTTGTATGGTAGTGTTAGGATTTCTAAATGTTGTTTACCATGTGTATTGGACTAGGTCATTAATCAAATGTATAGTCAAATAACCAACTACCAAGCAAGAGGTCTTAGATTTGTTTTTCGGATCAGACAAAATAGTATTAGATTTTTTTTTCAGTGTTTTGATCATTTCTTAGTGATATAACCAATTGATATTAAGCTCATCTCCCTCCATTACATGGGATTTATAACATAACTAGTCAGAAGTGTCCCAAAGACATAATAATTTAATATGAGCACTTCTACCAATACCTTTGAAGAGCAAATAGTATGGTACCTGTATATTAAACTGTCAAATACCAAGCGGTCACCGGTGACCGCAACCTATTGTTCTTTAATTGTGTCTATATTGACGGTGCTCGACGAGTTAATCCATACTATTGCATTATTTACAATACAATAATACTTAATTCTACATGTCTAAAGAGCTATTAGTATAATTATAATAGTATGAATATTGTAAAAAAAAGTAATTTATTATCTGAAATAAAGGCTTTTATTATTACCTATTAATCCATAGAACTTTCATGAGGTCACCCTGTACTTTCTAGTACTAATTTCACATTCACAATATCATTTAATTGTTTCCCCAGGATGTATCCTTCGTAATGTGCCTGGACTCGATATCCTCATCTCCTTCAATGACGATGCACGTGTCGAAGCCTCCCAAGCCAGGCGGCGCGGCCCATTCTATCAAGTCAAGGCTCGGAGTCAACATCAACCATAAGAAGATCAACCTGGCTGATGAGTTACTCGCCTGGCAACATGAAAGATTCAGTATTAGAAGGATGACTGCGTTCACACTAAGTTCCTTGCAGGTATGTTCTAAAAAAATATCGTACCATTTCTGTGATTTAATCCTTACTAATATAATAAAATTGTAGAAAAGTGCTGTCTGTACATTGAAAATAAAAATAAAAAAAATAGCAGGGGCTATTGTTATGTCGATGTTGAACCCAAAAATGTAACTAACTTTTTTTTTGTCTGTTTGTCTGTTTGTCTGTTCACGCTAATCTCAGAAATGGCTTATAAATATATATATATTTAACAGGGTGCGGAAAAGGTGATAGTGGTTTTATTCCTCAGATTCCTCTCATTCCAAAAAAA